TGTATCGTTGCTTTGGGGCTTGAACTTTAAAGTAGGCCTAAACAAGGTCAACCTGTGATTCTTTTACTTTTGACATAAACAAATGTTTTTGAAAGACTGAAGAGAGTGACGTGAGGAGATATAAGTTGTTGTGAATGTGTGCTTTCAGGCCAGTTTGACAAGATGAAGTCTCCGTTCGAGTGGGACATTGTGACTCGAGGACTTGTTGCCATGACAATCGAAGGCTTTGTTGGCTTCCTTATCACCATCCTCTGCCAGTACAACTTCCTCAGGAAACCCCCGTGAGTGATGTGTGTTTCTGTGTGAATGTGCGAGGTGTCACTTTACTTTATTGTTTTCTCTCTGCACTTACTAGGGATGTTAACAACCACATTTCTCTGACAATACTTTCTTTGTCCTTGTCACCCAGCTGACACAATTTGGCACAAACATCCTGTCACTTCTTAACAGAGTCAAACACACATCCACACACCACTAAAATCAGCAGAACCCAGTCTTCACAGTGATGTTATTTATTTATTTATTTTCAGTGTCAAAGTATCAGATTCAGTTTAGAGTCTAATTTTTTCTGATTATTTGAAGTTTAGGCTATATTGTTGTATATAATATATAATCAAAATGTAGCAGTCTAGATAAATGTCTAATAACTTATGTCCTATATAGGCCCAATGTAAATAAAATACAAATGTTTTTGTTAAATAAATACAGATAGATACTACATGGTAACTACACAGTAAGGTGCTACCTCTCTGGTGTTCAAAAGGTACCCTAGGGAATGTAGAATATCACTATCTGAGGTAGGGAACACAGTGGGCATGCTGAGGGTAAAAAGGAACACTGAAAACATAACTGAAATCTGTGTATGTGTGTTTGTGTTCAGGAGGGTGCCAGTCAGCTGTCAGCCTATAGACGATGATGATGTAGATGTGGCCTGTGAGAGACGAAGAGTGCTGCGAGGAGACGCCGACAATGACATGCTGAAGATCGAGAACCTGACAAAGGTTTAAAGATCCCCTCCAGATATATATTGAGACATATACAAATAGTTGTGACCTCGATCTAATTCAATATGAAATGCACTGGCTCCAATTGTAGCCCACTTGCAATTGCAATCAATCAATAACTCTTACATTATGTGTCCAGTTATGCCAGAACAGTAAATGAACCTACCAGTTACAATGGTCCCTATACATGTGAAATATATGTAATGTGTAGTTAAAGAACCAGCACTGGTGTGGTCCTTTAATGTGCTGTATATCTACATGCACTCTTTGCGTCTCCCTCAGGTGTATAAATCCAGGAAGATGGGTCGTATCCTGGCTGTGGACCGGCTGTGTCTGGGTGTCCGTCCTGGGGAGTGTTTTGGACTGCTGGGAGTGAACGGAGCCGGAAAGACCACCACCTTCAAGATGCTGACGGGTGATGAGTGCACCACTGGAGGAGAGGCCTTCATTAATGGAAACAGGTCAGTGGCAGCAAAATAAAATAACTTACTCTGAATGTGCATATGGAGCCGTCAAAGCAATGTCCGGAGAGATGAATCATACTTAACTATCCAGTGGTCTGATGGATGGATGTGGAGTTAGAGGTTAGAAGTTCAGTTTTTCCTGGTTTGGCCTCCTTAGTTCAAGTGAAGAGAAAAACATGACAATGCCTCCGCCACAAAGCCAGCTGCATAGAGAAAAAATTATTTTCCCTGTTTGTGTGGAAGAACTTGCCTGAGCCCAGACCTTAATCCCATCCAATACCTTTGGGATGAACTGGCATCCTGACTGAGAGCCAGACCTTGTCAGCCAACATCATATAAACAACAACCTACTGACAACTATAAACAAAAGGAGCAAAACCGCATGAAACAAAAAAACAAAAAGAAAACAGGTGGAGCAATGAAAAGGAGGGAAGTGGGGTGAAAGATCACGGACTAAAAGCAGCTTTAAATAGGTGGGTTTTGAGTGCAGTTTTAAAGGATGCGAGTGAGGGAGGGAATGTCTGAGCTGTTGGGGGAGAGAGTTTTAGAGGGAGGGGGTAGCAATGGAGAAGGCCATGTCCCCCCAGGTCCGGTGCTTAGAGTGGGTGAGATGGGTCAGAAGGTTGGCGTCTGTGGAATTGTTGTTGCAGGTAGGAGTATGATGCTGCAGGAGGTCAGTAAGGTAGGAGGGGGCGAGATTGCTGAGGGCTTTGTAGGTCATGAGGAGGATTTTAAACTGGATTCTTTGTTGAATGGGGAACTGATTTTTTGTGTTTGAGTGTGAGCAAATCTCTGCAGCTGGGTTTAACATCTGGAAGAAAGCCTGAAACCAGAAGAGTGTTTGGATGTCCACATATGTTAACGTAGTACTGTTAGCATGGTTTTGTGTTGCAGGACCACTGTTGGGTGGACACAATACAGAAATGTAATTTTCTTCTTTGTCTTGACCTGACTGAAGTCCAGGTGGCATGAAGAGTCCCTTTAAGTCATCAAGTCAAAGTCGTGTGTTTGTGTGTGTGTGTGTGTGTGTGTGTGCGCACAGCATCCTGAAGGACCTGTTACGTGTGCAGCAGAGTATCGGCTACTGTCCACAGTTTGACGCTCTGTTTGACGACCTGACCGCCAGGGAACATCTGGAGCTTTACACCCGCCTCCGTGGCATTCCGTGGAAGGACCAGGAGAGGGTTGGTCTCATTCACATACACACACAACCTGGACTAGTTTTAGGCTACAGGACAAAGTTATAAAATAAAAACCCATCTATTGTATATACATCTTATTCAAATAAATTATCAAAAGAAAGAAAGTTCTCTCAGGCCTAAGTGTGGGAAATTCCCCCCCAGGTGGTGCAGTGGGCATTAGAAAAGCTGGAGCTGTCAAAATATGCAGACAAGCCTGCCGGCACTTACAGTGGAGGAAACAAACGCAAGCTTTCCACTGCCATCGCTCTGATTGGATACCCCTCACTCATCTTCCTGGTAAGAAGTTTGAATGGATGATTTATATTCTGCACAAGTACACTAAATCAATCAATCTTAATGTTTAATTTTCCAAAAATGTTCCCACGATGAACACAAGGATTCTCAGCACAGTCTTTTTCCATGTACCCTGAGGAATGTAGTTGCACATGTCAGTACTACATCCACAACAAGGATATTTGCATACAGATCACTGGGGCTAAATCAGTGGCAAGAATCCTAATTCTGGTTTATTACTGGTGTCTGTGTAGTTTTAGCCATCACTCCTATTAGTATTAATAAATAATCAGGTAAAGATAATTTATATAGCACATGACAAGAGCGAGTGTCACAAAGTGCTTCACAAATGAATAAAAACGATATATTAATAATAATAATAATACCAATGTAAAGCCTCCCTGTTTAAGAAGGTTTTTAACATTTAAAACAGTCCACATTGCTGAGTGAACTGATATC